CTGGCCCACCAGCCTTTTCCGCGAGATTTGAAGGCGCTAGAATTTTGCGTATAATAGTCAATAACCCGGCGCGTAAACCCTATAGTACGTCGGGAAACTCTGAAAAAGGGTTTAAAATTTTTTTTTTTTTTTTTCAAAAAGTAGAAATTATGACTTTATAAATTTAAGAGGATGAGAGGGGTTGGGTAATTTTGACATTTAGAGGGGATGGAGCAGAATTTTGATAGGTGTTTTAAAAATTTGGGTGAAAAAAAGGAAAGGTATTTTAAGACATCCAGGAAGGATTGGAGGGAAGGGGGTAAAGGTTTTTTATGTGGGCCTTGAGCATCCTGTAGGGTTGTGTGAGCAGTAGAGTTCAGTATAATAAGTTGTGATGTGTCTAGGATGGTTTTAATGAAAATTTAAAATACCAGCCTAGTTTCCCAGGCCTTTTTTTTAGCTGTAGGCTCTTACTGTTAGAGTGCAGGCATTGTACTTCCCACCTCTAGGACTGAAGTCCCTCTAACCAGTGTTCCCTGAATCCCTTATAGATATTTCCTTGTTAGAATCCAACAGCATGTAAGCCATGGCTCCAATTTTGATGCTCAACAAGCCTGTTGGATGCTAAGGGCCCTACACTGAAAACCTTTAACCCCTTCATCCAACTTTCGGATAAGAAAAAGGCCAAATTCAAGGGATCATTTAGCACTGCAAGACAGTGCAGTGCTAATGCTAGAGAACAAAGGCAAAACGAGCAAATACAAGGGCACAAAACAGAATCATAGTCGTTAAAGTAAATGTTTCAAATTTTGAAGTCAGCAGGCTGTGTGTGTGTGTTAGATAGGAGTGAATGTTGATGAATGGTTTTTGGGTTTTGAGCTGTTGTTGAGAGCAGGATAATATTTTGTGAATGGACCCGGGGGAAACACTTTGCCAGACTTCCCCCTGGAGGCAGGAAGTACGTCCTGCATTTAAGAGGGTTTGGGGTATTTTCTAATTTTTGGGGTGAAAGCTGAAATGTGTATCTGCGTGCTTCTACAAAGACGTGATTACGTGTGAATGATGGTTAAAGGCTCTTTTTTGGGTCTCCCTGCCTCGGTGGAAGATGGCCCCCATGTGGAAAAAAAAAAAAAAATGAAATTTTCATTTCGGGTAAACTTTGAGAGGTGGGCAGCTGTAAGCAGTCAAGGTTTTTAAAAAAAATTTTAAATGAAATCCATGAGCCTTGAGAATGAGACAAACAGTCCAAAGGTGTTTAACTATTTTAAACATGAAAAAATTTTTTTAAAAGTGACACAGATCGCTTAAGGGACAAATGAGAGTGGGAGTCCAAAAATGCGTTGTGTGTATAGTTTCCCCTCTCGTCTTTTAGGGAACAAAAAGGGGGATGGGTAGAAGCCCCAAATTTGTTGGCTGGTTTCTGACTTGGCTAATGATTCTACCCGTATCCCGCAGAAATGAGGAAAGTTTTTAACAAATTGCCGAATAGTCCGAAGTTAAATTTTTAGGACAATAATAGCATTTGGCCCCGGTAAGACAGCCTTTTGTGTCTGCTTCAGAGGCTTTCATTACCATTATGAGTGGGTTTAGCACTTAGTTTTGAGTGTAATAATAGTAATAATATCTCTGTGGGTTAAGCACTTTTTTGTGTAATTGGATACTTTAATACCCTCCCATGCTGAAGGGCTTTTGGTTCAAGGAATTTAAGCCATTCTCCCTTCAGATCAAATCCAGTTGCCAACTATTCCCCAGGTGCTGTACGACTTCTAGGGGATTTAGTACTTTACCATAAATACAATACTAATTTTGGCTTGACTTGATGAAGGAAAAACAGCCGAGTAGCCTACTCCACAGGAGCATTCTTCTTATCAGTGTTGTGTGTAGGAGACTATGCTCTCCCACTTTCATATCAAACGCACACATCTCGCTCATTGTTATCTCGTGGAGAAGCACCCAGTTCCACAGAATTGTCAAGATCCATTTTCAGTATGCCATATCCTAATAGACTGTCCTGTCTACCAGCAAGCATGCAGCATTTACCTTTGGTGTCGTCACTGCTCCAACATCCTTATTTTATCTGACCTCGCTGACAGGTCCATCTCTGACACACTCCCTCTGTGTCTTTTTGTCAGCAACAGCATTATTACACTGACGTTGATTATACTTCCCTTTAGCACTCCTCACTGCCCTTACTAACTCTACTTCTGGCATGCTCTTCACCCTCACTGGTCTCTGATCAGGCATATTACACCTTTAGCATACCTACCCTGCAGTGCTGTATGACCCTTGCAGGTTTAGCGCTTAGTTATGATTGATAATGGGGGAGGACTAAACCTGTAGGGGTCATGTAGCACCTGAGGGGAACAGAAGGTATTCAAGAAACTGAAGCAGTGGTCCAATTCCCGAGATCAAGAGCCCCTCAACAACATCAAGGAGCCTCCATTAAGGGAAAGTCCTTGAAGTAGCAAAACTGCTTGAGCTATTGGTCTAAATATGCCCTGTTTGGCAGCTGCCAGTGCATTCATTATTGACTGCTTTCAAGCAAACAAAAGCTCATGCAGTTTGTCATATGGCCAGTTAAATATATTAGTCATACTTGCATCTGTACTCTAAATGCCATTTCCTTTAAGTATGGAGGAAAGCAAAGAAATTAGTGGGCAAGTTCTCTGATCCATCCTTGATAATTCCCGACACTGAATCAGCTAGCTCTACTGATGTAGCAGAAGCAGTGGGACATGCTTTGCTAGAATCATCCTTGGGCTACATTTTTGTCCTCAGAGATGCCTTGATGTCAATCAAAGGTTGTTGATCCAGGCTCCACTCATTGTTTTAAGAGTATATATGACAGGACATAGTGAATCTGGAAAGCAGCAGGTTAAGGAGTGGGACTCGGCTAAGATTTATTTATTTATTTAATTTATATTTTGTCTGCAAACAGTACATTGAGATTTTGTATTTACAATAGTGGGTTGCAATGCAAAGAGAGCCTTTATTATGCCTAGGCATTATGGGCCAACTTAACATTATTGACTTACAGACTACTTAACACTAAGGATTATATCATAGTTGTACAGTAGGATAGTAATTATTTCATAGTTGAACATATAGTCTAATCCAATTGTCTCCCATTCTCCAGATTTTTTGCTCATTTTCCTTGTCGGTTTAGTGCTTTCACTCATTATAATAATATAATTTTGCTCCTCATAAGTGTAATAATGCACTTGTTTCCTATCTGACCTCAGTTCAAATTCTGATGGGAGTGTACTCCACTGGACTTGGCCTCATAATTATAAACCCTACGATGTTCCATTTATTCTCCTTGACCTTACATAAGTATTGTTGAGATTTCAAGCTACAGCAACTGGTCATGACAATGTACACATTATCATGCTTCATATAATAGTGTCACATGAGATAGGAAGCCTATGGCTTGCTGTGTAACACCTATGGATTTTGTATTTTTTTCTGAATACAGTAAAGAATAATGATGAAAGATACACTCAAATTGTTTCTTGTTTTTTCCAGGCTGATTTTAAACTGTAGTACCTTTGAATAACATGTGCACTACTTTGTGGTGATCCTTTGTTAAAATAGGATGTAAAATCTAGTTCCAGCAAGCCAGTAGATGCTTAATTAACCACTTAACAGGTCATTATCTGACAAAATCATCACCACCACCACCTCAACACTCCTTTGTATGGCTTTTGGCAAGTAGATTGTACCATAGGTTTGTTACTCTAAAAGAGTAAGAGTTTGTCTGTTGTATTGTGGTTTGGAATGCTTGTACTGTGGCTAATTCCTTGTGTGTCATGTTAGACATTGTGATAATGTAGCCAGAGTTTAGTTAACAAGAATTTATCATTATTGTAACATTATGCCTTTTAAGAACAGTCCTGTCATGTCTCTTTTTGAAGAGCTGTCAGTCCTGTAATCTACAGCTATCTGTTATGTGAGTGAGGCTAGTTCCAGGATGATCTTTTGTTGTACTGGGTTGACCATTGTTTTCCAGTGTTATAAGTGTGTCCTCTGGATGTGGTGTACATGCTTGGGTAGCCAGGATAGTTTAAAACAAGGCATTTATAAAGCTGAATAGCAGTTTTCTTATACACTACAGTTTAATACAAAGTATGTTTGACTTGTTGCAGAGGCTGGTTGGCATCTTTGTATGTATTCATATTTGTTGCATATAGTACTTTCAGTGAATGATTAATAATTACACTTAATCTTTCATGAGGTAGCAAGGCAGTATTTTCAACACATATATTGTTCTGTGTATTGCTGTTTGTTCCACATGCAACTGCTTACATTGTGATAAATTTGTTTATGTGGGCAAAAAGTATGTTATGCCCATGGTTTGTCAAGCTTTGTTTAACCAAGCTAGAGGCTGTGTCCATGCAGTGGACTCGTTTAGTTATTGGTGAGACCCAACAACATTTAATTTAGTTTTCGAAGCGACAAATTGATGACAGTGCCATGCTGCTGAGTACTACAATATCAACATTTTGACAAGGTGATCATTCCCACAAGTCATTAGTCTCTCATTAGGATTACTTCTTCCTCCTACCTTGTTATAATGAATGCCCTTCACAAAATTAACAACTTTGTGTGGTATATGTACTCTATATGGGGAAGACATAAAAGAAAAAGTGGAGAGATTAAGGGATTTTTTAAAGAGATTAAAGGATTTTTAAAAGATTATTTCCATAAATTTATGCATTGTAGTGTACAGTACCTGAATAGGATACCAGGGCTGACTGCCTACTTTGGTCACCTTATTGTGAATGAACCTGTTTAGTTAATATATATACAGTGGGTTTTGCTTATGTGGAGTTATTAGTTAAAAATGATCTGATCTGGTTCTGAGTTGTAGCTTGTATGTTTTGAAGTTTTCAGGCCATTGATAAACATCACTGCTTCAAATGTGCTTCACCCGAGCAACGTATTTAAATTAGTTGCATAGTTCTGTAAAAGATGTGATAATTGCAAGAATTGTTTTTATAGGCAATATTTTTTCTTTGCAGGTGATCACTTCCCTTCATTCTCCTGGACATTGTAAGATCTGTCAACCAGCCTTCCTGGATCCTGGGATGTAAGAAGTGATATATAATCCATTTTGGCTAAATATATATATATACATATATAAAGGAGAGGTTTAGGATATTGCCTCTGCAAAGACAGTGATTATGTATGAGTGATGGTGAAAGTGTTGAATGATGATGAAAGTTTTTTCTTACTTTTTTTTTTATTTTTGGGTCACCCTGCCTTGGTGGGATGTGGCCGAAGTGTTGAAAAAAAAATATATATTGTAAATGAGAGGAAAAAGGTTGTTTATATAATTATTTTTAATGCACTATCTATAAGAATAAATCACCAGAGACTGTATTCCATCAGTATCAATATTGTATGAACTGTATAATAAAAATAGCATAGCACATTCCACTTTTTAGTTTCATTTTGCCCTATTTATAAATTTTATATATTTCTCTTTCATACTCTTCATTGGAAACTTGGCTACAACAACAGCATGTTTGTCTCAGATAAAGCTGCCACCTATGCTACCCCTTCAAAGGGAGTTCCTTCCTTTGGCAAAGGAGCTCTTGATCCAAGGAACTGGACTCTCTGGATTGAATCTAAATACTTGGACATTCCACCTCCTTTTGGCCTTTGCAAAATCCACTTCTGACAGAAGGAAAAGTAATCAGTATCAGCCCTGTTTTTATGTAACTTCTGTTGGTAATTTTGGGATGGGTGTGTCACTTTACCTGATGGAAATTTGATCATCTTAGGGCGCATCAGGCGACCCTCTGTTGAGACACTGGGTGACTCTCTGGTAGGGTTTTTGATAGCAGAAGTTATTGGAAGCTATCTTTAGATCCAGAAGTGGTAAATGAAAGTGAATGACTGCTTGCATTCTTTCCAAGTACGTACCTTGTGGAACAGAGCTTTTCACTGTAGCCTCCTCTGATTTTAGCCTGTTTATTATTGCTCTTTGTGTTCTATTAGGAAGTTATAGATCCATCTACCTACTTTTCCTGTTATTCCTTTATTACACAATCCGTGTGCTAATACGCCATGATCACACTTGTGGAGTGGGGTTATATCTGTTGTTTTTAGTGACTGTGGGATGACCCCCTGTGTCCATGCTCCTCCTTGAATAGTTAATGCACATGAAAGGAGTTTCTTGCAGTTTTTGAACACAGAGTTCCTGGGGCCTGCAAAAGAGTGCATGGGCATGTCATTTGTTGCTTTTTCAAAGTTCTGTGGTGTTAGGATTATATCAGAAATGATAGGATGGATAATGAGAACCTTCAAAACCAGGGATGCCAAGCCAATGATGATTCTCATTAAATCTGCAAAACTGCAGACCTGGAGAATATACAGAAAAATTTCACTACATGTATAAGTACCACAAAGTACCTAAACTACTGGAAATGGTTGAGGTTCCTTGACCTGTACTCCTTGGAACACAGGCAAGAAAGATACACGATAATATACACTTGAAAAATCCTAGAGGGATTAGTCCAAAATCTGCACATGAGATCACTCCCTACAAAGGCAAAAGACTTGGCAGGTAGTGCAACATCCTCCCAATGAAAAATAGGGTCGCCATGAGTACTCTAAGAGACAACACAATAAGTCTTAGGGGCCCAAGACTGTTCAACTGCCTCCTATCATACATAAGGGGGATTACCAATAGACCCCTGGCTGTCTTCAAGAGGGAGCTGGACAAACACCTCAAGTCAGTACCTGACAAGCCGGGCTATGGCTTGTACATCACTTTGCATGCAGCCAGTAGTAACAGCCTGGGTGATCAGGCCCTGGTCCACCCCGAGGCCTGGTCATGGATTAGGACACAGGGGCACTGACCCTCGGAATACCCTTCAGGTATACTCTAGGTAAAGATGGAAATATTGGGTGTTTCCTTACACCTGCTGTCCCATTCACCTAGCAAGCAAATAGGTACATGGGTGTTAGTCGACTGGTGTAGGTTGCATCCTGGGATAAAAGATTTAAGAACCCCATTGGAAATAAGACAGATAGTCCTTTGATTACGCACTGACTTTCTTAGGTTATCCTGGGTAGCTAACCCTCCGGGGTTAAAAATCCGAACAAACTCTTATCCTTCATCAAGTTCATTACCTCTGTAACTTGCTCAGCTATTAAAACTTTGGAGTCCAGTCCCTGGACCAACTATGTACCTCTGTAATCTTTTGACTACCGCCCACAGGA